AAGGCCTTAATTTTATTTTGAAGAGTTCAATGCCTTTTAAGACTTTTTAAGGACCCGCGGGAACCCTGACTTTATAAGGGCATCGGCGATTCATGCGTTTCTCAGCACAAAGGGTGCAAAAACTATATTCATATTTCCTCTATTTTAGCTTCATTATATTGGCTGCCAGGACATTTTAGGTTTGATTTTAAAATCTTTTTATTTGCTTTTAAAGCTCTTAATGGTCTTGCCCCGCCCTTCCTGAGCTGCTCCATCCCTGCATGCCCTCTCGCTTCCTTAGATCAGCTGATCAGTCCTTACTGGCGGCGCCAGGAGGAGATCGTGCTTTTTCTGCTGTGGAAGGACCTTCCTTTGGCCTCCAAACTTCCTGATTTTAAATCTCTTCTATCTGTTCCTTGGCTGTAACACAATCTGAGATGTTGACTTTGTCTTCCTGTGTTTCTTTTTCCACTATATTTATAGTTTTTATGATTGATGTTTTTCTTTTATGATGGTTTATAGGAGCACTTTGGATCGGTTGATGTAGAAAGTGTTTTATAGATAAATCTGAATCTGATTCAACAGCCGATTTCCTCCAATGCATCTTTCTCACTAAATCCATGTCGTTGAGTCAGACTCAGTGATTTTCTGTCTGCTAATATCTGGATGAGTTACTGGATTAAACTGGTTTGCATGAGAACGCCGCTGCTGCTGAATGTTGGACTCATTAGAAGGCCTCCTGTTTTCCTCTGCACACGTCTGTCTTCATTTATCTCGGAGTTGGCGTTTTCTTTCCCAGCTCTCTGATGAGTAGCAAAGGGCCCAGTGAGGAGCGGCGATGGCTGCTTCTCACTTTGTTTAACATCGTTTCATCTGCTTAGAGCTGCTCTTCACTTCCAGCCCCCCCCCTGCTCCTAACAGGCAGGTAATTACCCATATCTGTGCTTTCCCTCTTTGTCAACTCATTTAGTCAATTAGAAAGTGTAATGATTAGCTTCTCCAGTTAATCGTGGGATATTAGCCGACGCGGGGCGGCAGGGATTACTGAAACTGGCTTTTTGTCAGTTGGAGCTCTAATTTGAATAAATGTTCATTCAGGACTCACTTGAGTGGGTGTGTGGGGGGGGGGGATTTTGGATTGCTGGCAGGCTTAGAGGCAAAAAGAAAAAAGAATTAATTGTAGAATGTAAATGTCCCTGGAGGGTCTTCTCTCCGCAGTAGAAGCATGCAGGCGCCGCCATCATGGCGTTCGTTCTTAACTCGGTTCTGTTCGCTTCCAGAACTCATCCAGATTATTTGTTATTTATATGAGCTAAGCGGTGATATTAGCATCAGTGAATGAACGGAAGCCCATTAAAAGTCACTGCTATGCATCTCAATGGGATCTGGGCTTTGACTAGGCCCTGGGCTTCCAGCTCTGAATTCCCAGTGAGTCAGTCTGGAAGCGTCACTGGGATGAACTGGCCATCTCCTGCTGTAGCAGAGCATCTCCAAACCATGAAACCTCCGCCTCTCGGCTTCAGTGTTAATTTTCCTGCTTTGCTGCAGGTTGTTTATATCAGAATATAGAAATTTAACAGCAGAGATGGGAAGTAACGAAGTACAAATATTTCGTTACTGTACTCATGTAGACTTTTCATGTAGATTTTTC